TTCGAAATCGTTAATTTTTTTTTTCGGACAATGCATTGGTCTTGCAGGTTGCAGGTGACACTTGTTGAGAAGGAAGTGTTATCTATGCATGGAATTACGCATAGGTATATTAAATTGCTCACCCGCTCCTACAACGCTCCGGTATCATAACTTAACAGACGTAGTTTCGTGTTTTTCTAAAAACATATTTCGTTTGAATAATAATTATTTATTACCTATGTACGAACCGGCATCATGATAATATTCCTAATAATTTACKAATCAAGTGATGCAGCRTGCCCGTAACGCCATAATAATCGCTATTCATACGTATTATTATTATTTTTAAAAATAATTTATCTTCAATTTTATTTCTTTAAAGCGCGTTAGGTTCGGCTTGTTTTTTCTTTCGTTTTTTATGATCAATTCTAGATGTTTTAAAGACATGGTCGTATGGATATAATTTATTGACTTCAGCATTGCTGTATAACAATCATTTCTCCAGAAGCTGATAAAGACGATTGTATATACTTTTTAACAAGATTAAAATATACACATATTATATGTACCTATTAAATACTTATCCATATTTTTTTAACACCATCAGTTTTGGTTTTATTTTGTTAAGCGTTTAGGGTTGTTGTTTTTATTTAATAGGTACATAATACTCTAGAAGTCTAGAATACTATAATCTAGACAAGCAGTTTAGCAGTATCTACATGGATCAGGGATAATACGATAATCGGACGGATTTAAATATTAATAAATCAGTAACTTGTAAATTATTATTATTGGACACAATATGTCTATTTTATTTACCCCTWATAGGTATATAATATACTAAACATTTTTACTATTTAACTATGTATAATGATAAATGGGAAAGGCATTTTTGAAACAGTTATATAGTAATCTATAATAACGAAATAGGTTTTAGTCAGTTATATTTAGTCGGACCTTACGACGTAGAATGAAGATTGTAAATTGTAAATTTTTTACGTATTAAAATTAAAGATGATATTTGATTATGATAAAAAAATTTATCTTTTATTATAATTTTTTTGATATTTGTTGTAACCCTAGCTGGTTCTCATTCGTAAATTGAACATAKTTCACCATATTTTATACAAATTAATGTGACGTTTTTACAGTAATAGTACCAAATATATCTAAACCTACGACCAATAAAAATTATATTCTACATCGGACATCTGCACATATTACGTGAAGAATTTAATAGTTTTTTATCTTGGCAATAAATAAATAACTATGTATAATTTAATATTATATTTCATAAATAATGTTTTCAGACATAAAACTAATACATAAGAATAAAAAACATAACCATTTTACAATTTTATTTTTATACTTATTTTATGGGGTTTTGGTGTTAAAATGCGAGTATAAAAATGTTTAAAAATAAAGCAAAACTTGTTTTTGAGGCATATAAAATATTTTTTTCTAAAAA